AGCCGATTACATAATTGAGTTGCAATCGTTTGATTGCAATACGACATATATATTTACATTATAGCCCCTAGACTATTAAGGGTTACACACTTTATTTCATTTCTAACCGACACTAACTTTATGACACATACAAACAATAATTATACAACGACAAATACAAATAATTCCCGACACAATATTTATATTAATATAATATAATCCCTTCCACATTAAAAATGACAAGTGTCTTCACTAATGTCTTCGAATCAACTCCATGAAGACATCAATCTCTTCAAATGGTATTAAAGCTTGGTGGTTGAAGGTGCACAAGGGTGCAAGTGTGGAGGAAACTGCAAGTGTGATCCTTGCAACTGTTAAGGCTCATCGATCCAAATAAACATCTATCTTTCGGTTCATGTGTTGTATGTCTCCATGTTTCTCATGTGTTATATTAATAATGCGTCGGGATGGATTGACGATGGATTGTTTTAAAGTATATGAATGATTATATGAATATGTTTGGATAGGGCTCTGCTATTCAGAAATAGAACAACTATTTCAACAGAGGAAGAACTTTGAGATCAACTCAAGTCTTAAACACTCAAACTTAACTTGTTTATTTCATATGGACAAAGACCCTATTTATAGGCTCAAGAGAGCCGATTACATAATTGAGTTGCAATCGTTTGATTGCAATATGACATACATATTTACATTATATCCCCTAGACTATTGAGGGTTACACACTTTATATTACATCACAAATAATACAACCGACACTTAAAAACATTCCTACTCGAATATGGAAGAAACACCGTTCATGAAAAACTAACGTCAGCAATGACCAAAGCACACATCATTTAGAAATATCTGTCCCCCCCCCCCAATGCGGTCTTTGATGTGGTTTGGCCGCACTTCTCCTCCTTTTAGCCTCGTTTTTTGATTGGTGGTCAATAGATTTGACTGTTTGAAACGGTTAAAAAATTTGAATTTAATTTTTTTATAACTTTTCCTGTATAACTTATCATTTTTACCAAACATCACTCAAATTCCAACAACCAAAAAACATCCATACATCAAGACTTTCGTATGATCAACCGCTTTGTACGTTTAAGTTTTCTAGTTTTTTTCTAAGTTTTTAAATCTTTTTTTAATGTTATGTTATGTTTTTTTTAAATAATGTAATGTAATGGATTTTAATTTTTAATTAATGATGTTTTTCTTTCAGGTGACCGTCTGGTGGTAGTGGTGGTTGTTGTTGGTGAGGACGACGAAGGTGAGCGGTGTTTGTCTTCACCGTTGGGGATGATGGAAGGGGGGCAGAGAGTAATCTTTAATTGATGCAAAATACAACGAAGAGAAGGGGAATAGGAATTGGGGTATGGTAGGGTGGGGTTTAAGGTTTATTGGGGTGGGGTTTAAGTTTAGAAAATGTAGCATAGATGTCTTCATAGATATACAAAATGTTTTTGGCAAACTATGAGATCAATCATATATCTTTAGGTCCTATTATATACACATCAGTCTATTTATATTCTAGATTTTACTATCCTAATTCTAGATCTACTTTTTTCATCTCTCTTCCCAATAATGATTAAAAAACATTTTTTAATCAAATGTCTTTATTATAATAGTAATTAAGTAATGATTATTAGTTTACTTTTAATTAATAATTATAATATAAATAAATAATTATTTATTTTGGAAATAACCATCAAATTAAGACTATGCCCCATTTCAATGTTATTTATTTGTTTTGGATTAGTTTTGTACCAAAAAAAATCTCATACATAAAGTATTTTCATATTCAAATTTAGATAATATATTGTCGAAAAAGAATTCCAAAATCTCAAAAACATGTTCAAAATCAACAAAATGTAATATAATACTTAAAAAATAATATAATATTTATTGTTTTTTTACTACGGAAAAAAAATATAAAACTTATCAATAATAAAGTAGATAATGATACTCATACAAAGCGTATAACACTACACATTTATAATTTAGGGATAATGACTTAAAAGTGTAATATATTTTTCGATTTGTACACATTTGATCACTGATTTTTTTTTCGTCCAAATTTAACCCTTCAACTTGTTAAACTGTACATATTCAGTCCTTATGACCGGTTACTCCAGGTTAGCCGGGAAAAATGACATAATAGGATAATATATTTCTCATTTTGTACATATTTAGTCATTAATATTTTTTTGTTTCAATATAAGTTTTTTTTTGTTTTTGTACTCATTCAGTACTTATGGATGATTTCTTTAGGTTTTTCTAATGACATCTTACGCGAGACAAACATTGATGAGGTGTTTGCGTATGTTGATGCTTATGTCCATCGCGATCTCGACTGTTTGGTTGCGTGAGTCTTCTGGTTTGGCTTAGGTCTTGTGTTCTGAACGTTGTAATTTCTTCATACGATATCAGATTTTAGCGATCTTTATATCCACGTGTTCGGTTTTTTAGTCTAATACAACTTCCGTTAAGATTACTCCTATTAAAATGTAATATATTTTTACTTATGATTTTATAAAAAAAACATCCATACATGCATTCATAAAAAACGTATGGATATAAAGATCGTAAGTAAAAATATATTACTTTTTAACAGGAGTAATCTAAACGTAAGTTGTAGTAGACTAAAATATGAACGCATGGATATAAAGTTCGTTAAAATCCGAGATCGTATGAAGAATTTATGACGTTCACACATGACCTAAGCAACCAAGTAGTCGAGATCGCGATGAACATAAGCATCAAAAGCCTCAAACACCTCATTAATGATTGTCTCACGGAAAATGTCGTGAAAAAAACCTACAGAAATCATTCATAAATACTTAATTGAGTACAAAAAAATGGCTTATTTTGCAACAAAAAAATATTAAGAACATACAAAAATATTAAGGACTAAATGTGTACAAAAATATTAAGGACTAAATGTGTACAAAGTGAGATATATATTACCATAATAAGTCATTTTCACCGGCTAACTTGGAGTAGTCGGTAATAGAATGCGTACAATTTAACAAGTTGAAAGGGGTAAATATTTACGAAAAAAAACTCAGTGACCAAATGTGTACAAACCAAAAATTATATTGCCCTTTAAGTCATTATTCCTATAATTTATGCGTAGAAAAATAATTTTAGCAAGCAATTGGTTCAAATTAGAACAAACTCCAAATTATATATCTCAAATCTGAAATGGCCTCACTTAGGGAAATATATAAAGGTTGGATCATTTGCATTAACTCAATTAATAATATAAATGTAATTATTATATTTATTATAATAAAAATAAAATAAAATACTTGGGAGTATATATATATATATATATATATATATATATATATATATATATATATATATACACACACATACACACACAGAGAGAATGAGAAAGAAAGAGAGAGAGGGAGAGAGAGAAGAAGAGATAATGAAAATTATTTTTTCAGAAAAAAATGTAACAAATTTATTAATAAGAATGATTAACGAATAATTATGATTTTTAAATAGGCTGGTGTGTAGAAAAAAAAACCATTTTATATTGTTAAGTTTGAAACAATTGTTTCATCTTTGTGTTTATGAAAAGTATTGAAAGCGTTGTTTGAAAGCATTGTGTGTTTATTTTATTCTTTAATCTTTTAATGAAGCCTAATGAATATTTTGTGGCATTCCTGTTTAAATTTATTATTTAATGTTCGTGTTTAAATTTATTATTTAATGTTCATGTTATAAAAAAATTTATAATTACAAACTTAAAAGAATTTTCATTTATGTTATAATAACAAACCTAAAGAATGTATGAATTATTTGTATAGAGATGTATTGTTAGTTAAAAGAGTTCACTACAAACAATTTAAGAACATAGACGTACTTGTTAATAAATAGTGATATTTGAACCAAATGGTTATGGCTTATCGGTACCAAAGTGTTTGAAAATGTATTCCTCCTCTAAAGGGCTGAGGGTTCAAATCATGTCGTGGACAAAAGAGTAGTCATGAGTAGGATTTAATGGGTGTTTGTGTTAGCCGTTGAAAAAAAATACTATTATTTGAAAGAATTTTCTTTTTAGAATTTAACCTATGAAATACCTAACATCATGTTCTTGAGTTTTTTTAAGACTTGTTGGTATGGGATCCAAAAAGACGTGGAGGAGCTTGTGGTTTATTCTTGCGCTATGTTTGGCAAAATAGTTATTAGTTGAAAAACTATCAGATAAAAAAAATGTTTGGTAAAATAGCTGATAAACTAGCTTAGAATAAGTAAAATAAGTAAATAACATAAAAACATGAAGATTGAAGTTTTTTATAATTAATAAATGGTATATTTTAAAGAGTTTTTTAAAAATTCGATAAGTTTGTTAATACGCTAGCCTCTCTTTCTGTTTCTCTCTCTCTCTCTCTCTCTCTCTATATATATATATATATATATATATATATATATATATATATATATATATACTTTTCGGTTTGAATGACAACTTTAAAATTTCGAAAAAAAAAAATAGACTTATGGCGACTAAACATATCCTTGGTGTAATTGGTAAGATCAATATTCATAAAATCCAGTGGATAAAAATAGTTGTCATGACATTATTTTTCTCTTAAAGAAATGGTCATGAAGTTTTTAGATCAGTATGATTTCATTTTATCAAGAGACGTGGACATATGAAGGCTTGTAAATACAAATGTTTGAACTCACAAGGAGGATGATTCAAAACTTAAACTCGTAAGAAAAAACAATGTAAAGAAGATAATACAATAACAAATTAGACTAGAATAACATATGACTCAACTAAATGATGTTTTAGGACATGAATTTTCAATGTAAAATCCCACCAAAAGTACATGTTTAATTAGTGTTTCCAATGATTTTTTTCATAAAACATGTCAAAACTATTGAATGCCAAGCAAAACCACTCTAACTTACATATCAAAATTCAAGCAAAACCGCATGGTTTATACTTTATACATAGATTAGAAAGCAGAAAACAGAACAGTATTCCAAATATTCTACAAAATAAACATTTCTTAGAAAAGACTAGTTTATGCATCTTCCTTGCACACTATTTACCCTTTTTACTTGTTACCCGAAAACAAAAGCCACAATTCAAACTCAACTACACTAACATACACTAGTAAAATCAGACAACAACAACAACAACAAGGGATTCATCTAGGTGATATGGTGGGGATAACACCACTAGAAAGGTCATTCCCTGAGATATCTGAGGAAACCAGGAACATGTTCTTTGTTAATGATGAACACTGAGAAGACACAGGTTCAGTGATATCAACCGAGTCAATGGTCCTGGGGTCAAGATCTAACATCATTTGCCATATGTTTTCAATTTCCCGAACGACTTCAGCCATCGATGGTCGCCCATCCGTGTCTTTTTCCCGACAACAATTGAGGGCCAAGGTCGCAAACTTTTCAACACATTCAGACGGATAAGATCCCATATTTGCATCAACAACCGAGTATATCTTGCCAGATTGATATGCAATATTAACCTGAATATATATACAAATAAAATAATTCTGATTTTTGATTTAGTCTACTCAATGTCTCAACTCTCAATCCAACACAAATATTACCTCTCGGACAATGTTCTTGCCATGTGTGATTGGGTGCATCCCAGTCAAGAGTTCGAGAAAAACAACACCAAGGCTATAAACGTCACTTTTATCAGTTAGGTTATGTGTCAGGAAATACTCGGGGTCAAGGTAGCCCTGTAAAAGAAAACCGGGTTCCCATTGTCACCTTTAAAGTTGAACCAAACCCTCTATGAACACATATATAAATTGATGCTTACAGGAGTTCCCTTAACAACTGTCGATACATGACCAGGGGCAATTCCGGAAATGTCAACAACTGGAGCCAGTCTTGAAAGACCAAAATCAGCAACTTTTGCTACGAGTTTTGAGTCAAGTAAGATGTTTGTGGCCTTAATATCGCGATGAAATATTGGAGGGTTAGCTTCAGTATGAAGGTAGAGAATGCCCTTTGCTGAATCCAATGCGATTCTTAATCTCATAGCAAAACTCAATGATTCTTTATATTTTTCTTCAACTAGTCAACACAACACATATTTCGTTATCAGATTATACAAGAGTAATATATATATATATATATATATATATATATATATATATATATATATATATATATATAAGGAAAGGTAGTTTATACAGATAGACATACTTGATAAGTGATCTCGAAGCGTGCCATTAGACATGAACTCATAAACCAACATCTGCAATGCACAAGCTATACGTAATTTGTGATGATGATTAAAGGACAAAAAGTTAATTTACCTGCTCGCCTTCTTCATCGCAGAATCCAAGCAAAGAAACCAGATTTCTATGATGTAATCTCGACAGTAATTCTATTTCCGTTAGAAACTCATGTTCACCCTGTAGTGATCCCTCCTGGGCTCGTTTAATGGCGACAACTGTCCCATCGGTCAAGAACCCTTTATACACCTTTCCATACCCACCATGCCCGACTTCACTGGCACCATCAAAATTGTTTGTAGCGTGTTTCATTTCTTCAAAAGTGAAGCTTTTCACTCCTTCGATTTTAAGGGATGCCCTAGAAACTGCACATACATGTTTGGATCGAGTATCAGGTATGTACACCGTAACATGATTAGTAAATCAATCCACAAGTTTACTAACCACGGCGACTTCGTGAAACTGCATCGTACTTCTTCCGATGCGATCGTAAGATATAAACTGACACGAACGCAGAGACTAAAATCGCACCTACAATCGCCCCTACCACAATGCCTGCAACTTCACCCTTGCTTATACCAGAAGAGGGTGACGTGGCAGGAAAGTCTGCAATTAAGATGAGTATTAATAACAGGTCGATATCTAATGATTAGGGTTATAGAAGACGAACAATTTTTATATGGATCCGATAGTGTGAAATTGAGAAGCTCGTAAGGTCCATAGAATTTGTTATATGGAACCTCCCATTGTGTGAACAAGCTTCGAATCCGAAGTACTTCACTCCTATTGAAGACATTAGAACCAGGTACTGTATACACCGGAAACAGCTTTAGATACATTGCAAGTCGAGGACCTTTTTGCCATTCATAGGTGAGATCAAGTTGAAAATGATTGATTTCAAGACCAGAGGTTAGGTAGACCTCGAATGGGTAGAAATATGTCTCAAAATAGGAGAATCCAGGACTCTTCAACCGAAACCCAACAAGCAGTGGTGCAGCACAGAAGCAAGGAGTAGGAGAGCCTGGAGCATATTCAAAGTTATTTGGGCATGATTCTGGTGGACATTTGTCAGTTGAGTTTGATGGAATGCTCTGCAGATGACTGACTAATGTGGTTGAAGATTCACAGAATTGTGCCAAGCTGGCATTCAAGCATGCTGGGTTCCCTTGAAGACTGCAGAAAATTTAGAAACATAAAAGCCTGAAAGTCTTGTTGTTTGAATATACATACAATTCGCAAGAAAATTAAGGAACCTAAGGGTGACATTTGGAGGGAGGTTAAGGGTGCCTGAAACGCCTGAAAGCCAGTTATTTTTCACATCCCTGGAAGATACGAGAGAAGGCATGTGAGTTCAGAGAAAGAATTAGAGCAGATAAAAAGGGAGAGGGATGTTCATGTTTGAGGTCTTACACTGTAAGTTTTTTGGTTGAATTGAAAGTCTTATTTTGCCAAATAGTGGATGGAACTGTGCCATTTAATGAATTGTTGGAAAGGAGACCTGCAGGAAAATAGTTTCAAATAAATGTGTACATCGATCCATTATATTTTCTAAAAGAAAGGTTAAAAAAATCCTCACAATCTTTGTAGATTAGGAAGGCCTGAAAAGATGGGAGGAATTGTTCCAGTAAGCTGATTCCTTGACAGATCGCTGCACAGTTTTATCACATGAAATTATAAGAATCCAAAGTCCAAACACAAAGACACAAAGTAGATCACAAATAGACTCTGTAAAACTTACATTGTTGTGATATCATGAGAAAGATTCACGGGTGGTATGGATCCATTAAGATTGTTATCACTCAGGTCTCTGAAATATATAAATTGTCATCAAACTAACAACTTAAAAAAAGACTTCACTCAAAAACTTTCAAGATTTATTTCATACTTACATATAAGTAAGATGCGGTATCCTGCTAAGATCAGGGATTGGTCCTTGCAAGTTGCAATTCCTAAAACTCCTGCAACACCAAAAGTAATCTTGGATTAGAGTGTTATGTATTGAAATTCATCATTACTAAAGTTTATTAAAACTTAAACTACACTTACAACTTGGCCAGTTGAAGCATGTTGCCATACGAGGAAGGTATACTTCCTTCAAAGTGGTTGTTGTCAAATTGACTACCAAAGAAAGTACAATGAACCCCTTGATCTTATGATTTGACCAAAACAACAATATTTCTTTTTAAAAGCAATATTATAGTAAAGAAATAAAGCATACAGTATAATCAAGTATGGTGGTTTACTGAGCTCAGGAGGAAGATAGCCTGATAAGTTGTTATTGTCAAGAAGCCTGCAACATTCGTCCATGTCAGCAAATGCCATTGCATTAAAAAAACTTGAGTAAATTCAAAGAATAAACTTACAAGTGAACAACATTTGGCAATCTAGATAGCTCAGGAGGAATCTGACCACTAAGTGAGTTATTGTTCATATGACTACAAACCCACATAATACTAATAGTCAGTCATCATATAGAAATCAGAAAATAAAAATATAGGAACAAATAACTAATAAAATTACAAGTGCTTTGTGTTGTTGAGTTTTGAAAATGAGACTGGTATTGGTCCAGATATGTGGTTCTGGTCAATTTGTATGCGGTTCAAATTAGGGAGATTCCCAATCTCTTCTGGCAAGGAGCCTGTTAGATTGTTTCCATTTAAGAGCCTGCATGCACATAATTACAAATTATCATAAATGGTTCAATATCTAATTAATTAACAAGGAAAAAAGAAATGAAGTTACAAGAATTTCAATGATGTAAGTTGGCCTATCTCTTTTGGTATACTCCCACCTATGTTGTTCCACATGACATCCCTTTAAGATCAAGAACAAATATGTTATATGCATAAGAAAATATTATCAAGAAAAAAGGGAACAAAGTAATGTAGGTGAAATTAGGAACTTGGCTCACAATATTTGCATATAAGATAATCGCCTTATTTCTGGAGATAAAGTTCCAGAAAGATTGAGATTCAGTAGTTGCCTACAAAAATCATACATGGACTTAGTTGTTGTGGTTATATATTGTCGCTTTAAAACTTATAGTTACAATCATATAAATTGGAGAATTAATATCTTACAGTTCTCGAATATGAAGATAACCATCGTCTAGGGTTTTGTTGAAGCACAAGACTCCAGTCCAATTTGATACACATGGATCTCCACGCCTCCAGTTCCTAAGCCTACTGTTTGGATCGATAAAGCTTTGCCTAATAGCCCTCAGTGTTGTCACTGCAAATTAAATCACAAGTTTATCATGTGTATTGAGTAATGATCAATCCCTCTTCTTTCCAAAATATTTGATAAAATAGAGGCCTTTGTAATGAACAAAAACTCCTCCAAATACATGAAAACAAAGCAGTTTACCTTCATCAGGATGAGTAGACTGACTATCTGCAAAAACAAGCAACAAACTCATGGTCCAGACAAATCTGAACCATGAAACCCATACTTTGGATATCACCAGTGTGTTGAAAGGACACCAATTACTTGTACAGATATCCAAACCATCCACCTGAGTTCAACAAGACAACAATTAGATTCCAAAGTTCATTAAGACTATTTCCACATGCAATAACTCCAAACAAGGACTCGATAATCACAATCTTAAAACCAGTAAAGTTACCGCTTCAAATAGACATTTGATCAAATGGGTTGTGTGCATGCGGTTTTGTGCCAAATAAAAAAAATTCCATCACCCATTGTTCACATGGGTACGAGTATAAATTAGGCATTCACAATTAAGAGGGTGGTTGAGCCGTTGAGGGTTCTGTGTGATTGCGCAGACCTCATTAAATGTTCTTCAGTAACCATTTGTGGCCTTGTAGATGTTTGATGATGGGAAGAAAAGAAGATAAGAAGGAAAATTAAACTTTGGACCAGTGACGATTGTAAGCTGAATAGCTGATGCAGATGAGCATGGTGACGGCTGTAGCCTTTCTTTCTCAATTTTACTGTCCATTTTTAACTAAGAAAATGCAAGAATACTTCGATCAGATGTTGGGTTGAAGGCTCTGTTTCTCCTATCAAAAATCGAGATGGTGTTCGCAACATTTGACTATTTTACTGCCTACAGCGTTGACACGTGTCCCACACATGCTTTGCGGAGGATTTCAAGAATGCCCCATAATTTAGCAAATTGTCCTTAAGAGGGTTTGTACCAAATTATGATCCGTATCTGTACCGTACTATAACTTGTATCGAATTTAAAAATATAAGACGGTACTCGGTACTTCAAATTCATGAAATTCGGGATTCGGTACCGTCGGTATCGGTACCAGTACAGAAAATCGGTATCATTCCTGATACCGGTCATGTTAATTCGGTTCGTTACTTAGGATTGACTTTTGATCAAATTTGATTTTCGGAAATCGGAAACGGTCGGTACCGGTTCCTTCCACAATCTGCAATCAGCTTCTTCTAATGGTACCATTGCTGCTTGCAATCGTCCCCCGGCAGTATCGTCGGCCTTCTGCCTCGTCCCGCCAAATACAATCATAACATAATACGATTCTTTGATTTTAAAAGATAGAAAAATAAGATAATAATGATGGTTATAAATATGTACGTTAGTAGTTGCCTATAAACTAAAAATAAATGAATCACCTCCCTTTCAAACCGGAGGAAGTAATAGCAACTTTGTGACATATTTTTTTCTACCACATCATTTTTTTCATATTTTTTTTATCATTTAAAGTGAATGATGTCCCACTTTTTACACATTTTTCTCTAATTAAATTATTTAAACAATTAAGTTTAGATAAAAACTAGAATTTCTATTAATTGAAATAAGGGATAAATAACAATAAATTAATAACTTCAAAACTTAAAATCCTAAAAATACGTAATTAATAAGAATTACATGAAGTCGTCGTCAGAAAATTGGTTGTCCAAATCATCTTCGGGTTCCACGTTCATATCAATATGGTGAACAATCCAAATATGTTCCACCAAGTCGCTACGAAGATTGTGATGGACTTCAACATTATATATCGACACTCTTCTTGCCATGTATTCTTCGCTAGCGATTGTATCGTTAGAATGATTTCGTTTTCATCGTAGTCACATATCGCTCTTTCCACATCCTTCATCGCTGAGCTTTCTTAATTTTTTTTTTCCTTTTATTATCATTAGGACATGCCAATGATTTAACAAACCCTTTGAGAAGATGGATGAGGTGGAGTTTGACACCTCTGAGCATCACTCCTTTGGGTCTTAGGCTATTAGGAGTGGTGTTGAGGTCACCAACTCCACCTCAACCAAAAGCCTCTCCACCCCCAATGATGATGGTGTTGGGGTGCGGAGTGGGGGAGAAACTAGAGGAGATGAGAGAGAGTGTGGCAAGAAGGGAGAAATGTTGCAAGCTACTGAGATGGGGTGTCGAGCTCGGTATGCCGAGTTGGCGGAACGGTGTTTGCCGAGGTGACTTAGCTACCGCCAATGCCACTTGGCTAGCCTTTGCACCGCCTTTTTTCTTTCACATAGATAATACCAAAAACATAACGTGAGAAACCGGAAATTTTTTATATTATTTATTGTTTGGCCAAAATTGATATCTTGCCTCGACATTTGCTCTGTATAATTTTGTATCGTGACCATAAAAACACGATGAAATATTGTCTAACGACTGAATGTAATATATAAAATTAACAATCAATGATGTAAGAAAACCAAAAAGTTTGTAGTTAATTTATGAAGTCACTCCTGTAACTCTCTAAAACCATACTTTACAAAACCAAATCCCAACATGGTATATACATATAAACTAGACAAAAGAAAACAATATTACAATTTTCAAGTAGTATACACGATAAATAGTTCCTAAAGAAGAGATACCTCCTTCATGTAGTATATGCAGATATATCTTCCTTAAAACACTATTTATTGTGTCTACAATCTACATACAATATTGTGGACACAACATAAAAGAATACATGGTTTTGTTTGTTCATCTAGGTGCAATGGTGGGGACAACACCACTCACAAGGTCACTTCCCGAGATATCTGAAGAAACATAAGGGTGGCCGTTCTTTGTTGTAGAAGATGAAGACTGAGAAGAAGGCGCATTCGCATTCTTCCCCGCTTCGATATCAATGGAATTCATGATTCTTGAGTCCGATTCCGGCATCATTTGTCGAATATTTTCCAGTTCCCGAACAACTTCCGCCATCGATGGTCGTTCATCCGTGTCCTCCTTACAACATTTCAGGGCCAATGTCACAAACTTTTCCACACATTCAGACGGATAAGATCCCATTTTTGCATCAATCACTGAGAATATCATCCCCGATCGATACGCAATATTAACCTAATAAATATATCAAAACAAAGATAACGCAAAAATTAAACTTCATGTTGATGTGGTAAGAATCAAATTAATTTTATTACCTCTCGTACGATGTTCTTCCCATGTGTGATTGGGTGCATTCCCGTTAACAGTTCAAGAAAAACAACACCCAAACTATAGACGTCGCTTTTATCTGTTAGTTTATGAGTCAGGAAATATTCAGGATCAAGATACCCCTGCCATGCAAAAATAAAACCATTTAATTAAGTTTCAAATACCCATTCTTTACTTGATTTGAATTTTGAGCTTAAAAGTCAACTGTCTTACCGGAGTTCCCTTGACAACTGTTGATACATGACCAGGGACAACACCTTCCAGGTCAGCAACCGGAGCGAGTCTTGAAAGTCCAAAATCAGCAACTTTTGCAACAAGTTTTGAGTCGAGCAAGATGTTTGTGGCCTTAATATCTCTATGGAATATTGGAGGATCAGCTTCAGAATGTAGGTAAAGAATGCCCTTTGCAGACCCCAATGCAATTCTCAATCTCATCCCAAAACTCAACGATTCTTTATACTTTTCTGTAACTAGTCAATGCAAGATACATCAGTTCCCTTTTTATCTCTTTCAATATTCAGTAAAGACTCATTGTGTTTAATAATACCTGATAAGTGATCTCTGAGAGTGCCATTAGGCATGAACTCGTAAACCAACATCTGCAATGCACAAATCAATGGTATATATGTATCTTTAATGTAAAGATGACTAAAGGAGAAAAAGGTAATTTACCTGCTCGCCTTCTTCATCGCAGAATCCAAGCAAAGAAACCAGATTTCTATGATGTAACCTAGACAACAACTCTATTTCTGTGAGAAACTCCTTTTCCCCTTGTAGTGATCCCTCCTGGGCTCGTTTAATGGCGACAACTGTCCCATCAGTGAAGACACCTTTATACACCTTTCCATACCCCCCCTGCCCAACTTCACTGCCGACATCAAAATAGTTTGTAGCATGTTTCATTTCACTGTAACTGAAGCTTTTCACTCCTTCAATTTTAAGTGACGCCCTGGAAACTGCGTAGAATATCATTTGGAATTCGGATCCAGGAGCATCAGAATCAGATGATGAATTTTGACTTCAATAGTAATACTAGAGAAATTTACTCACCATGACGTTTTCTTGAAACTGCGTGGTACTTTCTCCGTTGCAATTTTAGGATATAAAGTGCTATGAACACAGAGGCTAAAACCGCACCTATAATTGCCCCTACCACGATTCCCGCAACAGCACCCTTGCTTATACCAGAAGACGAGGGGGGAGGGGGAATAACTGCGATTAAAACGAGTATTGAACTATTAATAACAAGAATATAATCAAGATTAAAGAATTCGTAAGATTAGGGTTTAGGAGACGAACAATCTTCGTAAGGGCCAACTAGTGTGAAATTGAGAAGCTCGTAAGGTCCAAAAATTTCGCTATCTGGAATTTTCCATTGCGTGAACAAGCTTCGGATCCTGAGGATTTCGCTCCTATTGAAGATACTAGAATTAGGTGTAGGTGTATAGACAGGAAAAATCTTCAAATACATCTGTAATCGAGGACCCTTTCGCCATTCATAAGTAAGGTCAAGTTGAAAATGGTTTATTTCAAGACCCGAGGTTAAATACACCTCAAATGAGTAGAAATATGGTCGAAAATCTGAGAATCCGGGACTCTTTAATCGGTAACCAATAAGCAATGGTGCAGCACAGAAGCAGGGAGTAGGCGAGCCTGGAGCATATTCATAGTTAGATGGGCATGATTGAGGGGGACAATTGTCGGTTGAATTCGATGGAACGCTCTGTAGATGACTGACTAATGCAATTGGACGAGAGTTACAAAATTCCACACTGATGCTCGCATTTGTGCATGCAGGATTCCCTTGAAGGCTGAAAATATTTATAGACATGAAACCAAAGTTTTTTCATGTCCCATACATTTATGATGAATAAATACCCAAACATGACATGAATATGTAATTAGCGAACCTAAGGGTGACATTTGGAGGGAGGGTAAGGCTGCCTGAGATGCCTGAAAGCCTATTGTTTTGCATATCCCTGCAGTATCAGAGAAGATGTGAGTTTAGAGAAAGATTATACCTTTTTTTTTTTTTACTATTTGAATGTTTTATTGAAACAGGTCTTACAAGGTAAGTGATTCAGTCGAATTGAAAGTCCTGTTTTGCCAAATGTTGGATGGAACTGAGCCATTCAATGAATTGTTGAAAAGAGACCTGCAGTGGAAATTGTTTAAGATATGTGTGTTCATGCTTCATACATCATAATTGTAAATAACAGCCATAAATATTGGTGTCCTTAAAGTTGTAATCATGAAGGACACCCAAATAGTAATTAGTAATTACCTTCTAAAATGTACCATTTGAGAAATAAAAATTGCATTTAGAAGAAGCAAAAAGAAAGGTTAAAAGAATCCTCACAATCTTTGTAGGTTAGGAAGGCCTGAAAAGCTGGGAGGAATTGTTCCAGTAAGCTGATTCCTTGACAGATCTCTGCATAGTTTTTTTCATATGAAATGAAATTGTTTGTTGTATAAAAATCCAGACCAGAACAACACCCTGTAAAAGATCAAGTGTTCTTACATTGTTGTGATATCATCAGAAAGATTCATGGGTGGTATGGACCCATTAAGATTGTTATTGCTCAGGTCTCTGAAATAAATTTACACCTCTCATCAAACTAACAACTTAAAAAAATATTTTTGCCAGATATCATCATTTCAAAACATCCAACAAGTATTCCATACTTACATATAAGCAAGATTGGATATCCTGCTAAGATCAGGGATTGGTCCCTGCAAGGTGCAATTCCTTAAACTCCTGCCACACCCAAAAATTATCACAAACTTGCAAAGACTCCTATCTAAGTGAACATGTGGAAAATGAAATTAGACTTACAACTTCAACAACTTAAGCATGTTGCCATAAGAGGGAGGTATGTTTCCTTCAAAGTGGTTGTTATCAAGTTGACTGCCAACAGAAGGAAAGAAAGGACTGATTATATATAGTTTTATAGAACAAAACATAAGGCATAAGCATACAAAAAAAACATGAATCTAGTAAAGAAAGAAAGCATACAGTATAAGCAGGTTTGGCAGTTCACTGAGCTGTGGAGGAAGAGAGCCTGATAAGTTGTTATTATCAAGAAGCCTGCAACATACGTCCATGTCAGCAAATGCCAATGCACTTGAAGTTAAGAAACTCAAAGCGTAAACTTACATGTGAACAAGTGATGGTAATCTAGATAGCTCAGGAGGAATTTGTCCACTAAGTGAGTTGTTGTTCATATGGCTGCATAAAAATCAGGTAGAAATAAGAAACTAAAAATATAATATCAAGGAAAGGATGAGTACTTACAAGTGCTTTGTCTTGTTCAAGTTTGCAAATGACACAGGTATTGAACCAGATATGTGATTTTGATCAATTTGTATTCGATCCAGATTAGGGAGATAACCAATCTCTTCTGGCAAGGATCCTGTTAGTTGATTTCCATTCAAGAGCCTGCATGTAAATTAACAATAATTTTCACTTGTATTCACATTTAAATGTAAGAAAAAATCAACTTACAAGAGTTCCAAATTTGTAAGTTGGCCTATCTCTTTTGGTATACTCCCAACTATGTTGTTCCACATGACATCCCTTTAAAATGAAGAGTAAATATGCATAAGAAAATCAAAATACTATAAGAAATAAAGTAATGCAGATGATGATGATATTAGGAATTTGGCTCACAATATTTCCATATAAGACAAGCGCCCGAGGGCTGGAGATAAAGTTCCTCCAAGGTCGAGATTCAGTAGTTGCCTGCAAAAATTGTAAGCAGAATTATTTTTAAATGAATTAAACGTTAAAACCAATATCAATTATCAAGGGTGTGATATCTTACAGTTCTCTGACATGAAGATAGCTGTCGTCTAGGGTTCTGTTGAAGCACAAAACCCCAGTCCAATTTGATGAACATGGATCTCCACGATTCCAGTCGCTCAGACTATTGCCTGGATCGCTAAAGCTATCCCTAATAAGCTGCAGTGCTGTCACTGCACATTAATTTACAAGATTATCATGAGTAAATCCACCTTCTATACCAAAGTTTATCATCATAATTCATAATCAATAATCTCACAATTAATTAAGAATTACCTTCAGCAGGATGAGTAGATTGACAATCTGTAACGACAAGCAACAAACTCATGGCCCAGAACACTCTGAACAATAAAAACCTTGAGTCGGACATCCCGAGAATGTTGAGTGGACACAATCCCCAAATATTCCTTAAAAGTTAACACTTGTACTTATCCAAATATCCAAACTATCCACCTGAGCCAAAACAAGACAACAGGTTAAAATTCCAAATCTCAATTAGATTCCTTCCACATACAATAACTCCAAACACGAGCTCAAAAATTAGATTCTCAAAACCAGCAAAGTTACCACTTCGAAGAGGCATTTAATCCAACGGTTTGCGTGCAAAAAGTTATATGCCAAATCAGGGTATAATTTCCTTACACTGTGTTCACATGGGTACGCCTTTAGATATCCGTTGACAAATTATGAGGGTGGTTGACAGGTCTGTGTTATTAGGCGAACCTTGTTGAATGTTCTTTGGTAAACTTGGGTGGGTGTTGATTTTGAGAAGAGAAGAGGTAAAAAAAAGGAGAAAGCTTGAACTGGTAAACGTTTGTAAGCTGATGCAGATAAAGTTGATGACATATTCAGCCATTGAAAGTAACTGCGATTTTTTAATAAGAACGCGTAAGAGTACTACGATTTTTGGGTGAAATGTTCTGCTTCTCCTCTCAGATCAGAAATCAAGATGGCATTCGCCAACATTGACTTTTGTGTTCCGATGGACTGACTTCTTAGTTTGTATCGTGGGACCAGTACTTTGAAAAAAAGGCTGCTATGTTTCTGTGCAATTCGCACAGTTCTACACTCGACCTATTAGCAGATGACACACGCATTGCGTCTCAGCTTCTTTTAGCACATTAGGCTGGAGGGAGTGGTCACCACTCATTTTACCACACTCAATGAGTGGTATATCATGGAGAGAGGAAAGAGAAAGAAGAGAGATATAGAGAGGGAGGAAGAGAGAGAGGAGCGCTCCCAAGAATGGCCGCACTCCCCAAACCGCATAGAGGGGGCGGTGTTCCTTATGCCACATAGGCGCCATGTCATCCTTACCACACTTCACTCCCTCTAGTCTTAGAAATTGGTGAAACTATAGGTTGTGAGAGTGGTCACAACCAAACCACCGGCCAACTCAACGCCACGTAAGTATTTTAGCATTCCACAACCAACCCACTAGGTTGTGGAAATGGTGTTCACCGGTGGGTTGGTGGTGAAGGAACAAAAAGGATGAAAGAGAAGTAGAGAGAAAATGAAACTCACGGCTTCCCATTGGATGTCTTCATGCGTCTTTACCACCACTCTAGCCCACTCCACACCCAACCCACCAGCCTCTGGGGCGGTGTTCACCGGTGGGTTGGTATGCCATATAGGTGCCACATAGGAAACCCACGCGTGAATCCATTCCCATACCGGATAGCCTAAGGCTTCAAGGAGTCAACCTCGATAGGAAGGTCCCAAGGGCGCTAAACACCGCCCCTTGGGGCACCCTTGGCTTAGCGAGAAGAGAGAGAGGAATAAAGATGTTCAAACCTTTATCGTGGTAACTTCCATCCCTAAATCGATTTATGTTAAATTTTTTTACATCTTGATTTATTCTGTTATTCCATTATGCATCTCTATTGTTTCTTTTTTTGTTCTTCATACTTCAATGAATTATCAACTCCTATACTTTATTTTTGTGATTTATGTGTTTGATTGCTGCAATTTACCTTTGTCTTTCCATGGTGTTTAGACGAACGAAGAGTGTTCGATGAAATTCTTCAAATATCATTTATTCTATATGTAGCATAAAGACCTTAATTCATCATGATTTTTTCTTTCAGTGATTGTCAGTGGTTGTCGAAGCTGTTTTCATTGATATTATTTAGGAATTTGGCTTAATTCAACAAATATGATTGCACATAAACTTGTTACCATTGATGATCATTACGAGGATGCCTTGCCCAACAACTTCATGAGTTAAAAACAAGCAGGTATGATTAAGTCTTTGGCACCTCTTACATGTGTTTTATGAAGTGAGAAATGCTTCATTTGATTATCTTCACATGTATCTTTATGTTTTTATTAATTTGTGCTTTGTGCCACTATATGATTGCAGGTGTGATTCAACTATATGCATTCAATTGAGGGTGTTGTTGCACTCAATGGTAAGATATTCCTAAAATTTTAATCCATTGATACATTTTTTTCATGTTAATTTAATGGTTTATGATCTCTATAATTTCTAGGAAGAAGAGTGATAAAGAAATCATGAGAGGGTTTCAAGCTATTATGAGACTAATTGCATCTACATGCCTTGCCTCGATGAACCATGACACTTTGTTTCAAGAAGGCCAAAAAATTCATGAACATGATTAGAGTGATTTTATGTTTAAATTGTAGGGATCTTTGATGTGTTAGCATATATTTATACAAATATAATTTACTTAAGTTTGAAAGAAAATAAAAAAAATAGAGTTAGGAGTGTTACCACCCCCTATGAAATGCTAAGATTTATGTGCTAAGACAAAAAGACGATGTGACAGATAAAAAAGTGATGTGGCAAGGTGTTAGGAGTGTTATCACCCCTCTAGCCTAATTATTACATTTACTAACAACGACGATTAGTTCTAAAAACAAATTGGTCATCCCATCGATCGTATAAATTCTGATATAAACTGATTCAAGATGGTCAATCTCCAAGATAAAGCCATTTCGAAATGGCTAGTCTTCCAAAGAACTACGAAACAAGAACACAAACACCTTATTGATTCTCATTACTGTAACGACCCCATTTTTCAAAAGACAATTTTCATTTTTAATTAACCAAAACGCATTTCCAACAACCACAAAATCCAAGTACAATTGTTTTCAAAACCCATATCAATTACAATTTTATTTCAAAATATCATATGAGAGAGTGCACGCCGTGCCATCAAGCATTGCCCTTGCCCTTGGGCTCAGAAGTACCTGAAACAAATCCACAAACTGTAAGCTAATGCTTAATGAGTCCCCCAGAGCATACCCTACACACAATCCACATAACACATATCATATTAGCTATAAAAGCTACACATATCACATAAGTCATGTATACAATATATAAGGATTCCGTGGGCTCCCCCATGGTCTTTACCTAGGATTGCCATGGGCTCCCCTACATGGTCTTATATCTAACTGCCACGGGCTCCCACCGGGGTCTTCCATACAATAACATACATAATCAACTAGCATATCATATATCACAGAGGTATCTATCATACTACCTACTACATACATAAACATATAAGGATGTCGTGGGCTCCCCCAGGGTCTTATACCATCATGTCATGGGCTCCCCCACATGGTCTTCACCTAGGAATGCCATGGGCTCCCCCACATGGTCTTATATCTGACTGTCATGGGCTCCTCCCGGGGTCTTCCATGCAATAACATACATAAACACTAGCATACCACTTAGCATAAAGCTAACTATCATACCACATATCTCTACTACAGCTAGTGTACCACATATCATAAAATGGGTCGGCCTTGGTGTCGTAGACCCATTGGTATGGTGAGAAGACTCACCTCTCGATTGCTGAACTGACAAGCTAGAATCAGATATGTCCCACGTGCTGCTGCTCCAACTCAACCGCCTATAATCATTGTGTAATTAACTTGTCATAATTCCATAATTACCCTCAAAGTCAACCCTGGTCAAAGTCAAGGTCAACAGTCCATGTTGACCTCAACTCGTCGAGTGCATCCAGCAACTCGTCGAGTTCCCACATAATCCAGAAAGCCCGGACAAACCCTAACCAACTCGTCGAGTTGTTTCATCAACTCGACGAGTCCACTTGATATCCAGTAGTCGGGAAAACCCGATCCGACTCGTTGAGTTGCCAGGGCAACTCATCGAGTCCCCCTCCCTGTTTGCTTATTATGATAATCCATCGAATGCAGGGACTCCAATGCTTAGATCTGAAACCCTAAGGTGTCTAGAAGGATAAAGTTTCCAACTTTACCTTCTAGAACCACTCCAAATGCTCCAAGGTCCTTATCAAGGGTTGGAAAGCTCAAAAGCTTTGCCAAGTGGTCCAAGACTCTAGGGATCCGAAATCCTTCCTTTCCAGAAGAGTTTCTAGTCCTCAAAACGTTCCAAAGATGGAGGCTTTATGGACATACATGTCCAATGCATGTATTTAGGTCAAAATGGCCAAAAAGGGGAAATATACTCTAAAAACCCTTGCATGGCATCCTTGCTTGACCAAAAGCTAGATCTAGCCCACCTTGGGACTATTTTGCCCTGGAGATCCATAAAGTTGAAAACTTTATGAACTCCATGCATGCAATCAACAAGAAAGATAGGAAATGAAGGGTAAACTCAAGATCTAGCCATATTCTAAGATAAAAATCGAGTCTTGAAGACTTACAACCGTCCACAAGATGATCAAGCTCAAGAGTGAGGGCTTGGTTTGCTGGATCTTCTGCTTCTTCTCACTATCTCCTTCTTCTTAAGCTCCACAAATCACTCTTAGCTCACAAAATGGAAGAAAATGGGGATTAGGGTTTAGCACAGACGTTATAGGGTTTGGAGGCTGATGGAAGGTCAGCCTCAAGGTCCTTAAGGAGATTATATAGCGTGCAAACCCTAAAAATTAGGGTTTCTCTTTCCGGCTCCTACTCGTCGAGTAGGACCCAACCCCCGCGTCCACATAATAGCCTCTACTCGACGAGTCGAAGCTCCCAACTCGTCGAGTCCCAGCACCAAAACCCTAATATTGAGAAAATTAAATTAATACCTGGAACAGATGTTACAATTACTCCAAACGATTACAACTATAATACTTATAATTGGAAATAGCTAAAAACAAGAAAGCGGGAAACATGACCAAACCATACTAGAATGATTGTAACTACATTTACTAGAGAATAAATAAATGCTCTAATTAAACAAATAGAAAAAGAACAAGAAATTAGGAGTATGGAATCGTGGGAAATGTGGCAGCAAGGAAACGTGAGAACTCCATTTAATGTATTAATGACGATCAAAATACTACAATTAAGTTCTGTCATAAAATGATCTGGCCATGGAGGTGGCCTTAGGTACATCCTCGACACGTATCAATTTCACATACGGTTAATGATAGAAAAAAAATCCTTTCACCTCTTCAGACTCCGATTCTTCTTTATTTATAGAGTAATTACTGATATATATATATATATATATATATATATATATATATATTAGGCAAGTTGCAATCATATATTTTAATTGTCATCGTACAATGAGTGAGATGGCAAACGGGCAACAAGCTGTGCCGCTAAGCCTTTTTGAATGGTAAAGCTAATTCTTTTAAAGACTACATCCGAAGATCTAGGGGATATAACATTACTATGCATGATTCGTTGTACTCTTTTAAGAAGCTCTACCGCATCTGGTGCGAGGAAACCAAACGTATCAAATGCAAATGGTATGAACACGTGCTGATTTTCCATGCACGATTTCTCATGTTTGGTGACTTTGCCTGTAGCTGCTTTTAAAGCAGCATGTCCCGCCGTGAAACCCCCAGCCCTCAGACCCACGAGAGGGGATACCCCTGTAAGATCCACACATGCGTGTTTCCCTCCGACCCATCCAAAAATCAAAATGTCAGCCGGTGTGAGGGTTGATCTTCCTTCTGTCGGGTCAGTCAAGAAATTAACAGGTGCCTCTTTCTTAGCGGAAACCCCGACACGCTTAAATATGTCAAACAAAACATCCCTAACCATATCGTGCCTGTATTTAAACCCCGGGAGTTCTTTACAGTGAACTGCATGCTCTCCAAAAGAGTCCAAACATGCCTTGCAACACACAGGACATATCTCGTCAGCTGGGAATATGGGAATCATGAGTCGATATTTGAGAATAGTACGATACTCTACGGGAGACATGTGTTGGCCAAGCCCATCTATAGGGATATCTAGAAGAAAATCTTGAGCATGTGGTGCACGT